TTTTTGCTTAAGTAGGTCAGAGGTCAGGTCAAGGTCAGGTCAAGGGTACAAAATGCAAGTTTCTACAGTATCGGCCTTGCACCGTAGTTGCCGAAGAATGGACTGAGACTGATTGCCCAAAACGTGTTCTTAGACTACCAAGACAATATTCGTTGCACACAATGTCATTCAAAGGTCAAGGTCAAGGTCAGGTCAGGTCAGGTCAGGTCACCAAAAACAAAATATAGAAAAGGGCATGTGCGACACATGTTTTATGGGTCATTTTACTCATGGAATTCAATAGGCACACTCAATAAGTGATATGGACCACCTCTGGATGAATTTCGGGTCGAGGTCAGGTCAAGGTCAGGTCAAGTGAGGTCAAATTTTGAAGTTGGTTGTTAAGGCCTAAAAAGGTGTCTATCCGATGCAGTTTTTCACGGCGAATCGAATGGTGCTATTTTCGTTTCCGTACGAGGTCTAGAACTTCCAAAAAAATCATTTTTCAAAAATTTTGTGTGTCGTGACGTCATAAAATTTTGAATAACTCCCACATTTTTGAACCGATTCTTCTAAAAATTGGTATGTAGGTGCACATAGACCTCGTCTTTGACATATATTCCGGTTTTTTCGATAAACTCAAAATTTTGGATTTTATAAATATTTTCCCAAAAAAATCAGTTTTTTGGAAAAATGTTGGCCAAAATCCAAAATTTTCAAAAAATCGAGATAGCCATTTGATAGACAAAGTAGAATCACGTATAACCTTTTTGTTACGTCTTGATTCCTTTAAAAATGAAGATGTTAGCGGCGTTTGAAATTTTGCCGTTTTTGAGGCGAAAATGGCGAACATGACGTCACTAAAACGTCAATTTCTCAAAAATTTTCCGACGGATTTCGCTCAAATTTTCAGGGAACGTGTCAAATTGATGTATAATAAGGTACTGAAAGTTTGACGTCGCTGGCGTAACGCGTTTAGAAGTTATTGGCGAAAAACGGGAGGGGGGGCAGATTCTGCCCCCCCCCCCCCAGCGGGGCGCGGGTTAGGTTACATGATAGTAACAAGGCAAGGCGGGGGAGACGTCTTATCCCATCTCCCTCAAATTTTGCGCATGGGTAACGTGTAGCACAAGTAAGAAAAACAAGTGATAAGGAAACCGTAAGGACTGCGGAATGAAGAGGATGGGAAATGGGAATAGCCACCAACTCACGAATAATTAAGGTCATTTGAGGACGTCAATGGTCAACATAAGCGTAGGAACCATGGGTGCAAGGGTGCAGCTGCACCCACAATATTTATCCAGTGGGTGCAGACAATGTATTCTGCACCCACAATAATCTGAACCAAAAACCCCTTTTTCATCAACAGTACTTCCCATGCAGCACGGCAAATTCAGGATATGTTGCCTACTATCCATCTTTCGAAGCATTTGCTACTGTGATCAGTGATGGTCTTCAAAAATCAAAACTTACATTTGTGCTGAAAAAAGGGAAATGGAGCATGTGATTGAACACATACCGAACCGATGAACCACTGTCAAAAATTTTAGCCCGATATCTTCGAAAATGGCTAAGTTGGCCGCTTTTACTTTTTGCGGTAGTCAATATTGACAATATTAGCCCTCGAATGTGTGCAGCGTTTTCCAGCTTCTAATGTGTAGGGGAAGGGGGAGGGGGTCGGTCGGACCCCCTGCCGTTCGGCCCCTGATCGAGCTAGAGCTTCGCGGAAAAAACGAGGGTGTTGCCCGTGACGAGAGGAAGCCGATGATACCCAATTTTAAGGTCCTACTTCATTGGTTGACCTTCCAGGTCAGGTCAATATTCCAAATTCCTAGAACTGCGTAAAGTGAAGCTGTTATCGGGTTTTTCGGGGTGCTGATCACGAATATCTGATGTTAGTTTTGATCACAGATGATTTCTTCATGCATTTAGGCCAGATCGGGTCAGGTCAGGTCAGGTCAACCATTAGGCGTCCTACCGGCTATCCATAGTAGGTGTCAACTACCACTGACGGCGTCGTAGCATGTCACGAAAGCACTAAAACTACTTCGTAAACGTTCAAATGGATGCTAAATTCGAAATCAGCCCTATAAACTACCCTAGAAACATGTAAAACTCGAAAAAGTGAACCGAGGTCATCAAAGGTCAATGACCTGACCTGACCTTCAGGTTATCTTCACACCCACCGTGATGCATGGGAAGAACATCATTTCACATGTTTGGACGTCTACAATCACAAAAAGACTGGAAACGCGCGGATAATGTGAGTTGACATACGCCAAATCGCGATTCCGGCCGAACATGGTCTCGAGAATCAGGTCACAGGTCAAAGGTCTTTTGGGTCAGGGTCATGAAATTTTTAGAGTAGGTGTAAAACTGATCAACTCGAGGGTACTAAAAGTTTCGTCGCGATCGGCCGCTTTTTGCGCGAGTTATTTGCGAACAACCATGGGGGGGGGGGGGTTCATCCGAACCCCCTACACATGCGAGGGTCAATGCTTCCAAATGCACTTATCGGTTGGTACCTTTTCGACATGGTACACCCTCAAAGCTCGTAACGAGCCTTCGCTCGGGTGTCGCCCCCCCCCCGCTTCACCGGCCATGGCTGGATTTCTGCACCCATGCACCCACAATGCTCCAGCCGCTCCTACGCCCATGATGGTCAACATTCAACGGTTCCAGATTTGTACATGCTTTTTTGGACTGAGATTAGCTCATAGCTCCTGAAGTCATTTCACGTGACTTGGTGACCTGCTGACTGTGAATGAACTTTAACAAGGTAATCAGAAATGATGTATCAAATAGGCTGTCAAAAATGACGGCGCATAACGCCACCGTTTTTTGAAATATTTGCAAAACGCTAAGAAGGGGAACTTAAGAGCACCTGGCACGGCGCTAGTTTAACCCGCGCCCTGCTGGGGGTCCTGGATTTCCACGCCCTGCTGGGGGGGGGGGGTGTTTGAACACCCCCCCTTGTAACTCGGCTCCTGGGCCACGTAGCGATACGCGGAAGGCGGCGTTCGAAAGAGCGTCAAAAATAATGACGAAATCACTTCGGTCAATTTTTTGGTCAGGTCAAAGGTCAGGTCACCAGAGGTCATCGAAGGCAAAATTTCGCCGATTTCCAGGTCGAATGTCGAAAATTTCCAAGAAGCCAACGCATAACTCGGGAACCAATAGAGCTACAGCGCCGCGGAAAAGTGCATTCGATAGCCCTTTTAACGCCCTTTCTGAGTAATTCTCTCAGATTTGACCTAACATCAACGGTTTTGCCTGCAGGGGGCAAAAACTGCAAAAATAGCCGATTTTTTCGGAAACAGTTTTTCTGCAATAACTTTTGACCCAAGCCTTGTACGAGCTTACTTTCACCGGCATCGTGTTCCTCTCGTCAAGACGCATCGAATGAACTATAACTTGACCTTGAAAGGTCAACTTGAAAATTTGACCTCAGGTCAAGGTCATGACCTGACCGGAAAGGGTCATGTTGCATATCAGTCGATCCGTATCGTCGAACTGAATACATATAAGGCATTTTCATCGCTCTAGCATGCCTCTATCAAAAGTTATTTGCGAAAAACTGTTAGATACCATTCGTGACCTAAGATGACCTCAGGGCATAAACAAGGGTCACGGACACCATTTTCATGTTCGGTGTGTCTAAAACACTTGTAATTCGGTGTTTGGGAGTGTTTATAATGTCTTTCGTCCAAAAGAGACGCATTTCAATTTTCTCCCATTGACTTATAATGGGGAGGTCGCAAAATTGACCTGACCTTAGGTCATCGATATCAAAATTCTGAGATATACATTTTGTACATGCTATTGCTCTTAGCAATCGCTGAAAGTTTCAAAGCGATCGGTCACTCGGTGTAGCTACGACAGACATTGAAACATTTTATGAGGTGAGGTCACTTCAAGTGACCTGGTGACCTGACCTTGAATGACCTTGGTCTGAAATTTTCACAACATGTGTAGAATTGATGTATGATAAGGTGTACCAAAAACGGCGGCGCTCCGCGCCGCCGTTTTTGAGATATTCGCGAAAAACCACAAGGGGGGTGTTCAAACACCCCCCCCCCAGCAGGGCGCGGGTTAACAGCGTTCAATTGAGTTGAATTGGATTGGCTTGAAAGTCATAAAATATTCAGTAAGGCAATATCAGTTAAATCGGCAGATTATGTATCTGAAAAGAGGAAGTATGGTGCCCAGCGATATCCTCTTACATAATACTAACGTTTATAGCACGGATGAGGTCATTGACGCTGTCCTTCCATAAAACTTCAGACTCTACCACATTCAGGCAGGAGTCAGAAGCTTGGCCAGAAGGAAGCCTGGACCGGGAACTGGAGGCTCGCGGCTTTATTGAACTGACTAGGCTCACCGGGCCAGGCCAAACGTAATGGGCGCTGGACTAAGACAAATAATCTCAAAGAGATGTTTACGGCGTCCTTTGAGAGTAAAACGTGACTGAAGGACGCGTGCGTGTCACCCCGATTGTCTTGTTTTCTTTGGTCACGTGTTCTCGAGAAGTTAGAAGTCTTGCGCATACGTTGTGACCTTCAGCTGAGTGGAAAATTATTCACTATTTCCTTACAGACAGTAAGTATGCATGTGTGCCATCTTGGATTTTACTAGCAGAGTTTCAATTGGCGGTTTTACAGCTCAGCTTCTTTCCCATTTCCCCCCTCTCTGTCTCTCTCTTTCTCCCTCTTTCTCCCCTCTTTTCCTTTGTATCGTACATATTCAGGCTCCAAGAGACAGCTTGAACGTTTAACAAAAAGCACATTGGTGTAAACACCAACCAATAATAACTTTGGGGAATGACGTAAATGAAAATAATTACCTTACCTGAACGAAGCTGAAGAAGCCGGTCCTCAAGGTATGTGGAGAAAGTGTGTTGCTTGATGCATTTGCACTATAGGCAGCCTCCAGCTCTGTTTGTTAGGGCTCAAATACACGGTGTCCACTGAGCTCTCGGTGGACAAGGAGCAGCCGTAACTGTTTTTCATTTTCCCCTTCAGGCGCTGCTGGTTGCCGAGACGCTGCCGGCCGCTTCCATTAGCATCTCCGCGCTGTTCTTCCTCAAGCTGCCCGTGAACGTGCGGGTCTTCTTGGTGGTGTCGCTGTGCCTCACCAGCTACCTGGCTCTGGCCTTCTCCGCACACGTGTGGCTAGACTTTGCCGGCGTGTTGTGCGCCTCGGTCAGCCGGGGGTTCAGCGATATCACCTTCCTGTCGTACGCCGGACAATACGAGAGGTGAGGAGTGCGCGCGGATCGGTTACGCGAGAGGTGTGGGGGATAAATGTGTGTGAGTATGTGTGTGTGTGTGTGTGGGGGGGAGGGATCGTACAAGAGATGGAGGGCCTTATGACCGGGGTATGCACTGTGCTTACAGTGTGCAGACTGGCCATAAGTGCTTCAAGGTATGTTCCTTGCTCCGTTCAAAAGGTGAAGGACGAGAGTCGGTCAATAGATGACAGGCTAGCGCATGTCCTCTGGCCTGCGGATGCTCATTGGTCACTGGCCTAAAAAGTCAGACGTGTTCAAATTAGCCTGACCTAACGCCTGTCCTTGCCATTTTCAGTCAACACTATAATTGACCTAGCCTTAGTACAAAAACACATATATCGCCACACAGCGGGCCTTATTAGACGTTGAAATAGCACGCTGCATTTTTTATTCCATCGATAACACTACTAACGATCTGGCTGTTTGGTGACTTGCATGCAACCTCATTCCAAGTTCCACCCTAGCTTTTGTGTTTTGGTGAGAGCTGAAATACAATAGAAATGACATTGTTATGCACAAAAGGTGCCTTACTACCTGAATATTTCTCCTCCTTTATATCTCACTTCACTTTACCCCGCTTCTCTTTACTTCATTTTACATTAATTGACTTCACTTAACTTCACTTCATTTCTCTCGTCTCTTTTATTCTCTCCTTCTCTTCTCTTCTTCTCTCCTTTCTTTCTCCTCTCCTCTCCCTCCTCTCCCACTCTCTCCCTCTCTAACCCCCCTCTCTCCCTGTTCCAGGGACGTTCTCTCCACCTGGTCATCGGGCACCGGCGCGGCCACGTTCGTCGGGCCCCTGATCTACTCCGCCATGGTCTCGGCCGGGTTCAGCCCGCGCAGGGTCCTCCTCACCATGGTCACCGTACCCATCATGATGGGCCTCAGGTTGGTCGGTGTTTGTAAGCATGCAGAAAACAGCTCACCTACAGCTTATGTAAAAGTTCAGTGCGCTTTAAACTAAGCATTCAGTGCACCATTCGAAATATAACGACCCAGTCAATTTATCTCGCGCGACGCTTTGGAAGAGATTTCGGTGGTACATATCGCCAAAGTTTGTAAAGGTAGGCTAATCATCGTTGCACTATCTGTTGTAAGCTCGGATACGTTTAATGGATTCCCCACAGTCCATGTGCCACACTATCCAGCAGTCTGATAAGTCCCCGCCGTCCAACGCTTAGCGGACATCTTTGACGAAAGCCCTGGACCTCCGCTGATGAAAATTGTGCCCAACAAATGCTCCCTCCCTTGTCGGCCAGTTTTTGGGTGATACTGGGCCGGCCGCAGCCGTCGGAGCCGGGCCTGCAGATGAAGCAGCTGCAGGCGCGCTCCATGCAGCCCGTGGAGGACAGCACCAAGACGCGGATGCTGCAGAGACTGCGGATAATGCAGGTGGGAAGAGAGGCGGGCCTCGAAGCGAGGATGGGGAGCCGCACTTGATATGCGGAAAGATGCTGCTTAATTAATTCCTTTTACTTAAAACTGGTAGACAGTACTCAAATGATCTGTTGATTTTGTTTTATACTCAAAGGCCCCTCTTCAGATAGTTCATATATCAAATCGTAAAACTCAATGACATTTGAAGAAATCAGATGCATTCAGAAAAAAAACGTAATGCCTGGAAAACATTAAACAGAATCGGTGAAACTCACGTATAAATAAACTTTTATGTCTTTGACATCAATTTGGATTGCCAACCAGTCATGATCAGTCACAAACTTTCCCTGTTTATCCTTTTCGTCAATCGCTAGCATTGTATCAACCATTTTCCTCCTTTTCACAGACAGCATTTAAGCTGATTCTTCCGCTGTGTGTATTTTACCTCGAGATGTACTTCATTGGCTCTGGGCTGGTGAGTATGTATGTGTGGAAAGGCATACTGAAGTCATATGTAAACCCTGCCATCAGAGGACAACATAAGCAAAGTGCTAATCCATATGATGTTCCATTTAGTACCATCTGCCCGCTATATAAATGGAAAGAAGTGTTAGTAAATTGACCAAATATCGTCAAAGAAGCGATCTAATGATGTACGTCTGGCCGGGTTCAGTTGGTACATACCAACTGATTATCATTCTCGCAAAACATGTGCAAAACGCTATGAAGCGCTGTGGCAGGCTAGTAAACATGTCTAATGAGGGATTCGAGGGCTAGGGGGATGAAAGTGAATTTGCCGCGGTGCTATTTATGCTGCTGACTCTCGTGGATTGCCGTTATGCCAACCGCGCCTAGTTTCCACATTTCGCTGTGTTTGTTCGGGGTTATCAATGGTTGCAGTGATTGCATTGGGTGCTAGCGATAGCAGAGTTTGCTGGACATAAATTTTCCAGCAGTACTGCTGAGATAAATGCGAAAAGCAGCGGGGTGTGTTGATAAATGTTAAAACTAAATATAGCTTGAAGCATAACAGCTCAGACATGTAAGCACACCTGTTTTTCTTGACCCAGTGATCATGCAAGAGCTGTAACTTTCCATCAATATTGGTTCGTAGTAACTGGACGGGCAGGCGAGCCTGTATATACACTTGGGAATGCTGGCTCGCCTGCCCTTCTAGTTCCTACGATACCAAAATGTCAGCAAAATACAAGATTTTCACCAACATCCTTATGCATCTGCATTAGCACCTGATACTCGTCTTTGTAGTGTCTGGCAGAAGTGTAGCGATTACTTTTTATTGATTTAATTAAAAGCTATTGCACTGTTGTGTTTTTCAGCTGGAGCTGATATATTTCACTGGCGGGGTCTGGCTGACCCCGTCTCAGCAATACAGCTGGTACATCACCATCCACTGTTTCGGCGTCATGGTGGCCAGGTCGGGACACAAATGGTTCCACACGGACAAATTGTGGTTACCCGTGATATACCAGGTGAGAGTCTGAGCTTCTACGCGGACAGATTGTGGCTATCCTTTATGTGAGAGTCTGCAGTTCAACACGGACGGATAGCATGGATATTTGTGGTTTTCACTTCAGGCTGAATTTTACACTTCGGATTTTAGCTATTTACGGTCACACTGTTGTAACTCTGTCGTGAGAATCAATGCTTGCTTTATCTTTCAGGGAGATATTTATTGCAGGCCTTGAACCAATTAGCACTATAACATGAGATGCTGTGCTGCGTTTCCAAACGCAACCACCAACTAAATCGTCTGGCCGCTTTTCTGGGCGTCACGATCAAGTGGAAATTCCACAAGCAGCCCTTTGCTTGTATCATATATGTAGTCTGAGTACGAGTGGCAAACATTCCCAGCCCAACGGAATCATACACCAAATCCCCTGTTTGCAGTTGACCCAAAAATAGCACCTCATAGTTTGGCGTGGTAGCTGTAGAGTTAGCCGAGGCGTTGGCTGGATGATACTCGTCTGAACTGGAGAGGCAGAGAGCCCTCGAATGCCATTTAAAATGGCAGCTGAAGTAGATCTTCAGATGCCGTTTGAGGCGAGCTGCATTTGAAGGGTACAAGGAATTCGCACAGCCACACGAGCTTATGCGTTTGAGCTCAGCGTAAACCTTTTTGGATGAAACTGAACAAGCTCACTCCATTGAAATTGAATTTCGTCGCGGCGCTAAGTCAAAGCGTTGCCAGTGGATGGTGTCGTTGAGAGCGCCGTTCGCAGCTGGAAGGGGCCAGTTTCGCTGGTGACCCACTCCGGTGACCCGCGAGACAGAAGGTCAGTGGGCCATTGGTATTGATCGGGTACAGCTGCAGACCACATCCGAGACCACAGCGCGGCCCGGCGGGCCTCTGAACGGTCCTGGGACCTGCTCGGCTCCCGGGCCGCCCTGCTCGTAAACTGCCGACTATGGCCGCGGCCGCCGACCAGCGCCGGCAAACGGAGACGGCCGGCGAAAAACAGGCGGCGTGCTTTAACTACTGACGACCCGCGGACGGCGCAAACATCGCGTGTGGGTCGCTCGACCGGCGCCAGCGCCGAGCTCCGCTCAATTATAGAACACTGGAGAACGAGTTTCGGTCATCTTTCTTTTACATTGTGGGCGACAATGGGACAAACAGTATTGATTTTGGTCAAGTGTTTCGTTTTTATGAAAGTGATAAGCGGTGTCTTTGCATAAACTTAGTGATTTTTATGCTACGAGCTTGACAGCGTGGTAATTACTAATACGATTATACGTGCACTGTTGTTCTGTGGAGCTCTTGAAGTATCACTTAGAAATCCAGTGACCCCGAAGTTAGAAGCAGCTTCGGTCAGAAATAAGAATTATTAAATGTCAGTGGTACCAACGTCTCCGTTGTTTCCAGCAGCCAACTAATTTATTTGGCTAATGCTCCTAGCTGTTATATTGTTTAGTTTATACATTTCCCTAACGACCTCCTAAAACACAGATACCGCTAAGCTCTTAACACACCACACCAATCATTCAGCCAACCTGCTGTCAGAGTATCATATCATTTTACGTAAAAATAACCCTTCTTCGCGTTGCGGAGCACGCGGGTAACCCTAGTGTAACACTAGTTGAATTTGTCAGCCAGTCATGGCCCATAGACTTACATACACAATTTCATTCCCAAGGACACAGTCATAACTCCCACAGGCCACTAGACCCACAGCCACACAGGCCAACACGTCTCACAAGTGAACCAGATAAGGGGATTCTGTGTCGCCAAAGGCCACCAGCTGGGCTCCCTCGTGCCGCGCGCCAGAGCGCCTCTGATGATGATGAATGGGACCCGCGGAGGGAAGTCAAAGGGCCGGGTCACGAGGGGTGAACCCGACGGTGATCACGAGAAGTAGAGAGGCGCTGGAGACGGGAAATGTTACGGTGTTCATGCGCGTGCTGTTTATTGTGTTAATTATAAGAATGTAATCAAACTAATCAGGGATAATGGGAGGGCTACAAATAAGGCCGTGGTGTGATAAGGAAAATATGTTTTTGGTAACAGAAAACATTCGCTTCGACCGACTCCAAGTCAATAATTGGCTTATATCTTATTTCCGCTTCTCTTGGTCTCTAATCTCAGACATCACTTTAGCAACAATCTGCCATTTGCCACAGCACAAATACCCGGAGTGGACCGAGTGGACCATTACTTATCAACGGCTCTTAGAGCTGGTAAATGACGGCCACCGTGGAGCTGCACTGGTGGCCTTTCGATGTTCGCGGAAAAGCCGCAGCTCGTTCTGGCTCTCGGGTACTTCTATAACAGTATATCAGCGTTATGTAAAGCCATACTCATTTCAGCGTTGAAATCAAAGGCAAGAATACAAAAGGCACAGCACAAGTGTAAATACGATGCTAGAACGTTGCATATCTGAATATCTTAGCTGGATATCTGAAAGGTCAGACGGCACCAGACCACATCAACCCAAAGCGGAACTGATGCAGTTTAAAGAAAATATGACTTTGTTTCGAAGGGCTTTTCCGTGAACACTATTGATGAAAATGAAAAAATCCTGGAATCTGTCAACTCCAGAAGCACGTCACCTTCCCGTTCCAAAACTATACATACTTTATAATTATCCATGCTAAACAATATTGCCACGAAGCTACCTGCGAGAATTCTCTATCTAACGTTTTAAATACTTTATGCAGAACTCTTTCACTTCTTCAAAACACATAAGCTCTTTTTCTGAGTCTGCTTTTATTGTAGTTCCGGTGCACCATACCTACTTTCCTGTGATTGGAAAAGAAGCCCAGAAAGCTCTATGTAATCAGTTGATGGAGAGCAGATCACCCTTCTTTTCAGAACATTTGGCTTGGATCATGTTACTGAGTGCGGTAAATGTGTTTGTCCGTGAGGTTGTTAATGGTGCCTTTGTGTGCCACTTGCGGGCTGTTTAGAGTGTTCCACTATGTGTGCTGGGTTGCGTGACGGTGTTTGTGCTCGGTGTCTGACTAGCCCTTCTCTTTTCAGAGTATGGTACTCGTCTTTCTCTTGTCGGAGGCACACTTCCGTTTTCTGCCGAGTGTTTGGATTATGTTCGGCATTCTACTCATCCAAGGCCTGGTAGAGGGAACAGAGTTCAAGTCGACTATGTTCAAAATCTACAACGAGGTAACTCACAGTTGTATTTATTGTATACGATTGTTTTTATGCGAAGTGAATTAGCGTCATATGTTTTTGCCCGTCTTGAGATAAAGAAAAGTTGACATTTATTTTACGTTGCTGTTTTGGAAGGTCAAGACTGGACCAAATTTCAGCCTCCTTAGGAGCTGATGTCACGATGTAAATAAGTTTTTTTTTGTGTGTGTTCCAAATAGGTAGGTACATTTATTTCCCTATTTTTACCCTCTTTCCCTTCCTTCCCCACCTCCCTCCTTCCTCTCCCTTCCTCTTTCTACCTATCTCTCCCATTCCCCCTTCCCCCTTTCCTCCATGTCGGGAACGCTGTCCATTGTGCCTCTGCCCGGTTCCGGCGGCCGACACTGATTGCCACCGCTCCCGACTCTCTGTTCAGGTGGACGAGGCAGACCGAGAGGAATGTCTGGCCATGATGCCGGTGGCGTTCTTCTTTCCGGCGGTCATGTCCGGCCTGGCTGCCATCCCCGCTCACACAGCCCTGTGTCGGCTGCGCTGAGGAGTCGGGGTCGACCGACGCGGCAGCGGTGGCGACGTAAGACGAAGGTGACGACTGGTGATGAAGTTAGACGACTGCGACGACTGGGGACGAGTTTAGACGACGACGGTGGTTGGTGATGTTGTTCGACGGACAGATGGCTGTTGATGACGTTAGACGAAGGCGACGGCTGGGGTTAGACGCCAGACGGACAGACAGCCGTTGATGAAGTCAGACACAGACGGCCGCTGATGATATGGGCGGCGCGGCTGGCGACGGAAGAATGATGACCGGGAGGCGGTGATCGCGCCCGCAGGACGGAACGAAGGAGTAGATGTACGAGCATGCGGAACTGGGTTCCGCAGTTCCGCTCGTAATCATGCGGAACTGGGTGTGTGATTTGTGGGCTCCAGGGATCTGTTGGGTGGCGGATGTGTTGGGTGGTGACAGGAGCACGTTAAGGGTTCTGGATTTCCGTGGGTGTTCACAATGTGATCGCACTCTGCGGCGGCTGTCTGTTCGAATGCTGGTGCCAGAGTTGAAAGCTTGTCCAATCTGTCCGAGCTTTGTGCCTTATGTGGTGACATTTGTTCTGCCGTCCATATCAGGCCTGGGCTAATGATCACAAACCATTTCCGGTATACTTGGGGTGCCTTTGATGTTTGCTTTTTGCTCTCACTTATAAGCGTCAGTGCCTAAGGTGCCGAAATTATCAGACTGTGTCGGTGAATAGTAACTATATATAGTTAGTTCGCCAGTTCAGTATCGTGCTGGTCATTGTATGCCCACAATTTTCTCGTCGAGAAATTAAATACACATGCCTTTAAAGATAATCATCAACATTAGATGTCATCCATCGCTTTTAAAGAGAGGAGCTGGTACTGCTTCCATGCAGAGTGTTCAAAGTGCTTTTCATTAAACTCCAGATTCTCACGTCTCCTGAAGCATGGCGTCATGTCATCATTTTCAATGTTGCACGACCTTTACCACGGCACTGGTAGTTGATACTGATGCAACAAATGCACTGGGGGTCTGTAGACGTGACTGTTTCTGCTTGCTTTTTAACACATGTGCACAGGGGTGCGAATGTATATGGCTGTCATATTTCACACCCGTTTGATTGCTTGTGATTCAATGGAACATTGAATACACGCCTGCAATACATGTGCATTTATCGTGCAACCTTGTGTTTTTACATGACAGAGAAGGGAACAAGGGTTCTACATACATACTCGTATAGGGCAGCTAGAGTCGAGACCACTCAACCACTTGCATCTTTTCTCAAATCCAGAAGTCCTAACCTATGTAATCTCAAACGCACCAGTGAAACTATGAGGATGCTGGTTATAAATAAGAAAAAGAACCTGCATAGCTAGGTACTCTTAGGTCAGTGGACACTAGCACTATATATTACCAAGACCATTGCAACCTCTTGACATTGTTGCGAAGAGACTACAAAGGGTTGTCACTTTATGCGCTGTGAGCCATCCTCTTTTATCATACCTTTATCTTTGTTGCTTTTATCAAGCTAATGAAAAACATTCGTAGTTGGCTTTGAAGCGAAGTGCATCACTTGTCGCAAAAACTCCGATTTGATATTGTCACTTTAGGATCTGTTTTGATTTGTAACTTTCAGCATTAGGAGAATTACCAAATGGGATTTTATATTTGATTGGCCAAAATCTAAAAATGACTTTTAAACTGAATGCATGGCACAAAAATATTAAAGCGTTATAGATTCGCTTTACCATAGGGAGTAGAGGTCATTCACTTGCAATGCTGTTGATAGTAGCCGTTTTTCATGGTGGCTATCTGGCACACATTTGGCTCAGATTTGGTGCAGCTTTGGTGCAAAGTTGGTCAAATTAGGTTCATTGTCCTTCTTAAAAGTGATCATTTTGTGTTGTACAGCTGCTTAAATACCCCACTTTTCACATTATCAGACACTGTTTTCGATTAAAACAATGAAATAAATTCATGACATGAAGATATTTGCTGTAAAAAGAAGTGGTCCATATTTGGTCAAGTTCGGTGCATTCGCCAGATAACCCGTCATGAAAACGGCTATTCTGTTCAATCCATGGACAGCTGCTCTACTTCCAATAAAAAAACCCTTGTAAATATCACCACCTCTCAATGTGACTTGCATCATGTTCAGCTTGGATTATTCAGTCCTGAATGCTCGTCGCGGCACGGCACCAGTGTCCGCACAGGCCCATCGGAAGGGGCTGTCTCCGAGGGACGAATGGTGTCCGGCCCTGACCACCGGTACGTACCGTTCTGTCCGTCTGTCGGTGACAGTCTGTCTGTCGGTGACGGTCTGTCTGTCGGCGACAGTCTGTCTGTCGGCGAGACGATCTGTCTGCGACAGTCTGTCTGCGTTCGATGGGCTGATTGTGGGGAACGGATCGTTATACCGGGAATTCGGAGGGTGCCGCCAGCGCCTCCCTCAGCAGCTGTAATTGAAGAGAGAATGAGGGAGAGAGAGAGAGAGCGAGAGAGAGAGAGAGAGAGAGAGAGAGAGAGAGAGAGAGAGAGAGAGAGAGAGAGAGAGAGAGAGAGAGAGAGAGAGAGAGAGAGAGAGAGAGAGAGAGAGAAGAAAAGGAAAAACACGAAGAAGAGTGAAGAAAGCATGCACGCCATGGCCCCGGCCATTTGTGTAGTTCTGCAGCAGGCTCTCAAATTTGTAGACATTGTCACTGGTTCCTAAATGAAGTGGTCAGTTGAGTAATGACGTTTGCGATTAGCGTACCCATTGCACAGACCAACTTCCTCATGTGTTTGTAGCATTGCAGTCAGTAAACATGACTTGATTTTATATAGTAACTACTAAAAAAACTATATGACTCAATTAAACTAGCTGCCCTTGAAATTTGTAATGATCGCAGTGACATAGTTAGGCATAAAGTTTTACGTCAGGTGAGGCAAAAGGAAGCCTGCTCCTCGTCATACAAATACAATTCTATCGTCTCTTTTTCTGCATTCGCATTCGGGATCATTTTAACCTTGGAGGTGTTTTTTATGCATGCTTTCCCACGGGACGTGCAGAAAAGCGACTTACTTGGTATGCATTATCCTACATTGGATGTGCCTCAGGGCGACGTGGGACCTACGCTCCTATATCCCGTAATGGTCTGCCAGTCCCGCGCACAATACACGTGTCGGATACCAATCATTTTGTAGTCAAATGCTACTGCCACTATTTACGAGTATGGTGTTGCATGCTTCAAGCTAAATAACACGATTAATTTTGTGGATGTATATTCAGTTAGAGTGAAATCAGAATGATTTTTTTTTTAAGTAATGCTTCAGCAATGAGATTAACTAAGCATGCTCCAAGTCTGTATGCCATTTTCGGCACTTTTCATGAGAAAATCGTTACGATTTTTGCATCTTTATCAGCACTTCTTTTCATTTTATTGAATTGAAAAACATGTATTTCACATCCACTTTCTTGATTGTCTGGCCTAGACAGAAAACATCAAAAGGGCTTCTCCGACCTCCCGTCGAGACATTCTTGCTAATTAATTCTTCCTAGAACCCAGAGGCAAGCAGTCATTGGACCATCTTGCCTCTTGTGCTGTTTCGCTGCATCGTTACCTTTATCGGTCTCTCATCTGGCGGCGTATATCCTGTCCGTGGGGCTCTCAGCCAGACGCGACAGGGTGGCTCCGATCCCACCGGAAACCTTCCCGGGGCGCAGCCGCAGCCGACACGGAGCTGGGCCAGCCCGGGAGCGCGCAGTGCCGCGCCGGCTCGCCGGTCGGCCGGACCTCTGCCAGCGCCTGGGGGTATACGGTGTCACTGATAGCGCCTCTAGATACACCGTGCCGCTCGACAGCGTATAATAGCTTACGCCGCTCTACTGCGCCTGGAGGTAGGCTGTGCCGCTCGGCAGCGCCTGAAGGTAGACTGTGCCGCCCGACAGCGCCTGAAGGTAGACTGTGCCGCACAAAAGCGCCTGTAGGTAGACTGTGCGGCATAACAGCGCTCGACAGCGCCCAAAGATAGGGCGTTCTGTTAGACAGCGCGTAATAGCCTGCTGGGCCAACGGCGCCTGAAGGCAGACTGTGCCGCTCGACAGCGCCTGAATGTAGACTGCGCCGTATAATAGCCTTTGAAGTTAGACTGTGCTTCACGACAGCCGTGTGCCCGCACCGCCCGAAAACGCCTGAAGGTAGACTGTGCCGCACAACAGCGCCTGAAGGTAGACTGTGTCGCACAACGGCCCCTGAAGGACGACTGTGCCGCACAACGGCCCCTGAAGGTAGACTGCGCCGCTGCACAGCGCGTTGCGTTTCAGCAGCTTACTTGCAGGAAAAAGAAACACATTATCGGCCCTGAAGGAATAATCAAGGGCTCGGCGTCTGGGAGTGCATATTCAGGTCGTTATACCTGTTGATTTGATCGTACCGTCACACGGCACAAGTGGAAGAATGCGCCGGCGAGGGCGGCCGGACGGTCACCCGGTGCTGGTCTCCATAGTAGCGGCGATTGCTCTACTGGTCACACCTCGTGCTGCTCAAGGAGCAAGGTAAGAGTTATTATGCCCTCTAATTATTTGACACTAAAATGGCCTATGTTTTTGTCCTACTAAACGTGAATAAGTTATGATCCACACTTGACCAGCTGACCAGTTGACCAGCTTGACCAGTTAATGACCAGCTGTCATTAACAGCATTTGGGAATATGTATAGGTACTCGTACGCATATAAAGGATAGGTTGTGATGCAAAACTTGAATAAAACGCAAGTTTAAATTGTATACTCGTAGAATGGATTTTCAGCATACACGCACAAATGGTGTGTGCTTTGCCTTCCTACCCGGGAGCTGAAACAAACCCAGAAGAAGGGAGGTTTAAGGGCAATTAGGTACTCAATTCGCCTACTAATTCGCCTACTTATTAAAGTTTGTTATTTACGGCACATTGCAATATGTACATAGGATTATCAGGATAGGATTATGGAATTGACATCTAACCATTCATGCATCAGACACATTGAGAAGTATAACACAAAACCTTCGATATGCGCCATAATTTTGGATATGTGCTTACTACTTATTTGCCTGTCTCTCGTTTTAAATAAAATACAAACGTTGTTCCACGTTTCTGCGATTGCCGGTAGAAAGCAAGCCTCATGAAATTTTCATGAGATATCTAAGAATGACCTAAAGACATTTGAAATCAAGCCGTCAGTACAATAAACTACAAACCACAAAGCGATATTAGAAATATGGGCTCCCGATATTGGACAGACCGCAAACTCTAGACAAAATCTATGGCCCTGCTGAGTGATTTACATTTAATTGAATCTCGAGCAAGGCTTTTATTGGCTTTCTGTGAAATGTCGGACCTGAAAAATACTTCCCTCGGTGGTTGTGGGAATGCCGAAACTTGGGTTTGAGATATGAGCTCATTGTTGGTCAACACTACAACTAAAAAAAAAAACATAGATCACTCAAGAAAGAAACATGACAGGCGCTACTGCGATATGAAAACATTTTATCGATTCAAATTGCGAACAAAGCTTTCCTGAAGTATACAGTGATGAAATTTATGCGGAAAGCGTCCCCTGGTGCGTTGTCGAATGTTTGGTGAACAATACTTTTGTCCGTGTCGATGCGCACCCATTTAACCCGGCAGGCGGTGGGCCCCCCGGCCACCTTCCGCGCGTTGGGGGAGGGGGGAAATTTTTTGATCCTCTCGTATTTTCGAAACTATTGGACGAATCCGGAAAATTGAAACGGCGTTCGATAGCCCTGTCAAATGTGTTGAGGGAACTCGAATTTTATTGACATCAGGGTCACCGATGACGTCACAGATCAGGTCAAAGATAAAATGTTTCGCCGTTCACGCGTCTTCTAGGGAATGCGCTATAACATCGAGTAAAACGCATTTTGTCGAAAATCAACGATAGGGCGTAAGTTGCCTAGTACATATGTTGCTATTGGAGATCACTGACAATACCAGGCCAGGTCAGGTCACCAAAGGTGAGCACATGAACCCAACTTTACTATAGGGTTGTGCGATGCATGTTTTATGGCCAATTTTTCATTTCCAGCTCAATGGTGCTGGTTATTAGACCATCAGGTACGGTTTAGGTCACTTTCTGGTGGAGGTCAGGTCAATGTCGGGTCAAAAAAAGTCAAATTTCAAAGTTGATAGTTTTGCATAAATAGGT